TCTTTTAAGAGTTGCAAGAGCAAATAATTTTGCTTTAAGTGAGTGACACTCGGTTGAATTTTTGGTTCTCATTCATTTAAGGCCAGAAAGACTACATCCATTGTTGTTGGGCTTTGCTTCCCAGAACACACCATTGGAAAAGTACCAGAAATACTGAATAGTTTCAAGAAAAGCTGAGATGGTGGTAAATCAATTATTAAAAATACAATGCATTCATTTATTTGTTTTCCTTGTTTGATCTAGTCTGTAGGTTTGCAAGATTATGCTCCTCAGTTTGCTGTGAGGCCACAACACTATGGTCCTGATTTAAGTAAGGTAACTGACCTAAACTGAACTGATCTGCTGTCAGGGCAATATTTAATATACTCTGGAGAATTATGCAATTCTGTGCCTGCACAATTTTGCACATAAAACATATGACTGCATAATTACATAGTGTTGCATAATTTAACCTGGGCCAGCTCTGTGTCTCCACCTCCATGGGGCTCCCAGTACTCCAGCTGGGAGCCCCATGTGGAGACAGACACTGAGTGCAGTGGTGTGCAACTGGACAGTTGGTGAGTGGTGAGGGGAGCTCCTGCCTGCAGGAGGTGGGGGTGGGGTTTGTGGTTGGACATGGGGATGTGGGTGGGTGGGTGTAGGGTTTGTGGGTGGGTATGGGTCCACCCTGTCACACGACTCTCCCACCTCCCATGGTGCACAGCCCCTGCCAATGGTGGTGGCAGCAGCAGGCGGTAGGCCCTTGGGGCAATCATGGACACAGCAGGCAGACCCCTAGCAATGTGCCGCTCCAGCTGAATCCCAGGAGCTGCACATGGTGGCACGGAGCCAGCCTGGCCTGCCTGCTGGCGTGTGCCTTCAAACCAGACTAGGCTGGCTCCATGCCAGCATGTGGGGCTTGTGGCACTGCAGTTGGGAGCTGTATGCCACCAGGCTGGGCTGGTTCCAATGGGAAGCTGCATGTGGAGGCACAGAGCCCACCCAGCCCAATGACACATGACTCCCCACGGCTCCTGGTCTGCATGCTGTTGGGCTGGGCAGGCTTCATGCCTCCATGTGTGGTTTCTAGATGAAGCCCTATGTGGAGGCATGGAGTCGGCCCGACCCAGCTCCTGGAGCCACTCTCATTAAAACACCACTCTCCCTACCCTTCAGAGGACATAGACAAGTTCTCATGGCTACTTCCTATTAAATCAATAAAATTATGTATGTCTTCAAAAGCAAGTATGTGAACATCTGCTTGTCCCAAACAGGAATGTCCTCAAGCACATACTTAAGCCTTCTTATGAATCAGGGATAATCTACTGGGTAAGGATGAAAGATGTGTGGTCAAGCATATTTTTAGATTAGTTTTTGCCAGTGCTGCTACATATCACTGGAGATGGAGCACCCACATATTATAGCTGTTGACCTCAACAAGGACCAGTAACAGGACTAGTACCACTAAGGAATAAGTATCCAACTTTTTTTTTTGTCTGACCAAAGTTTTTTAATTACATTGCTACAGCACTAAAGCTATTATTCAGAACTGATGAAGAGATGGGTGGGAGGAGGAGAGGTAGAGGCCTATCTGTTGAGGCTAGAAAATCATCAACCAGGAATAAAATGTTGTCTTATGTGGACCTTTGTAAATTTTATTGTATCCACTTGTCAGATGCTAATGCTGATAGATGGTTATAAACTATTATACTACTGCTACTACTTTAGCAGTTTTCGGTTTTCCAGTTGGGCTGAACAAAACAGCCATGACACTAGTTGCTTAGTTAGCTAAGTCCTTTGAGGCCAGGATCAAGTAGCAATGGTAAACAGTAAGAATATTTGTGAGGGCTTTTACCAAATAGGAAATCTAATTCAGTTTGAAGGACAATAAACTCACTTGACAAATGTCTGAAATTGTGTTAAGCATAAGGGAAAAAAGGCAGTATTGGATGAGATTTCCTGCTAAATTAAGGGAAATGTGTTTTTAGAGTACAATAATTTGCTCACTGAAAGATGAGACCATTAATTAAACCAGAATTGAAGGATGCAGAATTTGTACTTGTTGATCTAACAGTGGCAATGGCAGTGCAATTTTGCTGTGTTAAAAGTAGCTGATATTTATCTAAACCTGTGTGTCTTTAGAAATCTTTTCAGTGGTTTGGTGACAGTCCCATGGGACATTTGCCCTTGGGGACGTTTGTACATTGAATGCACAAACATTCAATTTCTCCTGGGAGTGTCACTGCTCACCCAGGAGAACCCATGAGTGTACAGACATTCAGGCTTTTTCTCTCAGAGTAAAAACAGCCACTTCAAGGGAACAGTTTCTCTTCGGAGAGCAAATGCTTGTGTATGCCCTGGCTTCTTCTCAGAAGAGAACAGAGTAGTCCAGATTTCTCCCCCACCAGGGATATAATATGATGCTTGCTGGAATGTGCTGCTCTAGCAGGGAGCAGAACATGTCCCCTTCAAAAACTCTGCATTGTACTGCAGGGAAACACAGGCTGAATATGGGTAATCTGGTTCAGCCAATCAGGGATGCCCTATATACTGCTGCCATTTGTCTAAGGGAGCCTGCAGAGCATGCTGAAATGTGTGTGCAGGATCCCCGCTGGTTGCACAGTGTCAGCACTTCTGGCCTTAGCATTTAAATTTCTGTACATGCATCTCTGGGTAAGTTTTTTCTATGAGAACAAACCCAGAAGAATTCTCCCAGATTATTTGAATGTGTTTACAAAACCAGTATAAATACAACACATGACTTTTCTTTAACTCCCAGTTAAACTAAACACTTACAATACTCTGAAAAAAGTTACTAATTACAACTTAGTAGAGCTTGTTCTACCTAATAAGTTCCCAGCTAGAATTCAGCAATTATAAATGAAAGGAATCCCAAAAGGCACCTGTTTTACACTTGAAAGCTCAGAATTATTGCCGTATAACACTTTCTGTTGTGCAACATTGGGCAATGAAGATACTGTGCAACAACAGCTCCTTTACCCTGAATGAGAACATGAGGTGGAATACGTAAGCTTGATTGGATTTCTGATGCAGCATAAATATTATTGACTAAAACATCAGGAGGTTGTAAAAAAGTATATTATATAAAATAACTACACACAAACAATATTCATGTAACCTTGTAAAGCACTTTGAGATCCTTTAATGAAATGCACTATAGATTAAAACTATTATCAAATTCTGCCTGCTAATATTTGATACCATAAAAGTCATACTCAACTCATAGTTTGGATGAAGGAATTTTAATTAAAAAAAAAATGAAATTACAGTATTCATTTAAACAAACTGCTTCAAATCTGCTTTAAATAATTAAGTCAAAACAAATTTTGATTTTTCTTTACTTAGTGGAAAACTATAATTAAAAAATCCATGCATCTTATCTAAAATTTTTAACAAGGCATCTAACAGTCACCTGTTTTCATCTGTTATTAAACTATAAATAAAAAATATAAGCAACAGTGGATACCAGGTAGACATTTCATCCCTGAGGTTTTATTTGAGGTTTTTTGGTGAGTTTAATTATAAAAAAAATATGATCCATGGGCACTGGTTCAAACCTCTAAAGTTTGTTTAAACCTCTAAAGTCTTTTCTGTGGGTACAGACGCAGACACATGAGAAAGGAAAGAAGAATTGTAAAAACAAAATATTTAAAGTTTTTTTCATAAAATACTGAAGATCTTGCTTCACATCTTCACAGAGGAAGATGTTTTACTATGATCAGTAATAACTTAGGGATGCCCAATTAAAAGGGCAGCTTTTCAAATAACAGCCAAGCTCCATTAAAACACGGTTTCTTAGTTTAGGGCCTGCAGCAGAATTGTCCATAGAAGTTACAGTACAGAAATGAAAGAGGGCGTTTCATAACTCTAGATATCTTCCACCACTAATGTCAGTATTATTATTTGTTTGGTAGGTTTTGTAGCATCACCGTGTATTTGATAACTTCCATGCAGAAAATGGAGTTGCTGTTCTGAGGAATGCAAAATTTAAGATAGAAACAGAATGATTTTAAAAGGAACATCCCACTAGAGTGGCCTGGTTGTTGGCAAATAATGGAAAATACTTTCAATATTATATCAGTTGGACTGTATCTAAGCAACATGACAGAAAAACCTTCAGAACTTGATTCCATGAAAGGTATGAGCCTTACAAATGATCCCAGGGAAGGTAGCTGAGACAGCAGAGTGCAAAGCACGGAAAAGTTTAATATGAAGATAAAAATGGGCAGATGAGGATGGGAGTCAGAAAGGAGAGATAAGGGGTGGAAAAGGAAGGCAGAGGGGAGCATAAGAAAGGTGGCAGAGTATGCTTCCATAGCACTCAGTTAAGCTACAAGAATTCCCTGAAGCTGTTCAATAGGTGCGCCCCCCCACTCCAGTCCAGAAAGAAAAAAACAGGAGAATGTGAAAACAAAAAAAAATCCCTGCAAAAAACAAGACATAAGAGAAAAAAAGAAAATCAATCAGTGGAAGGAAAAAGGAGGAAAAGAAAGGGCATAAAAGAGGAAAAGAGACAATAGTCTGTAGACAATGTACCCTGTGCTGAGAAAACTAGTTACCATATTTCCAGTATCAAAAAAGAGGACACTTGTGGGGGATGGGAAAGAAGTAGAGGAGAGGGGGAAGGGTATATGATTGGG